ATGATACTTCATTCTCCTATTATAAGGCTCTGTGTCATTGGCTCATAAAGATTACCATTTCTTGTCTTCCAATTGTAATAAATCCCATTCAAGCACCCTCTTGATTTGAAATTTGTCACGACAACATGCAGAGGGCACAGTTCCTGCATTTTATGGCGCGGGTGCGTTAGATACTCATCTGCAGGAAGGATGATGCAAGAGCATAAAATGATTTGTCCCTTTCCTTTCTCAATTAGGTACATGTTTAAAAAAAAATTAAAAATCTGAATTATAGCTTACTCGTCATTCTCCAGCAGTAAAAAGGTTGGGCTGGCAGGGGAGCCAGGCTGGCTGGATTGGCCCTGCTTTTCCCTTATGCTGGGGAATAATCTGGTTTCTTTAAAATCATCTGAAAAGATTTCATCTTGTTTCAGCAGACAGGAGAGCTTTAACCTTTCTGGTTGTGCTTGTTGGAGATGAGAGGAAAGTGAGTGTTTGGAGCCTACACCTTATCAGGCACTAAATGGCACAGGCATAGCAGCTGTGCCAAAACGCGAGGCTGGCTCTGGGGCAAAAATGAGACTTTTGGGTAAACTCAGGTGTCCCAGGGTGGAAACACCCCTGCCCCATATTGGGATGAGTCAGAGCAGTGTCTCTCACCCCATTTTGGTGTGAGCAGAGCTGGAGCCAGCCCAGTCCTCTTTAGGGCTGGGACAGCAACACATCAGCCATCAGTGCCATGGAAATGTTCTTTTTTTTTGGGAGGTCTTGAATAAATCCATGCAAGAGACTTTGCTCAGGGAGAACTTTTATACTTTTAGTATCTGTTGTTCCTTAGGGTTTGGTATATTTTTTTTTTTTAACAAAGGTTTTAGTTGAGCAAAGAATCCCATCTGTATGGCTTTTTTATTAAAAGATAAAAAGCTGGAGTTCACAGGAGTTAGCATTAAGTCACAGTCCGCAGCAATCTGAGGTACTCGCTGGCTGGGGACTCTCTCTGTTTATTTCAAATACCCCTTTATCATCCTGTTGAAAGAGCCCTGTGCTCTGTAAAGCTCAGCCAATTGAAAAAAGAATCAGATAATGAAGACTGATGCTGCACTGATGACAGCCCCTCAGATCTTCAATAGGATTGCTCCAAAATCAAAAGGCTTTTGCGTTTTATTGTCACACTCGTGGCTCAAAAATAATTAAATGGAATCCTTTAGCTCTAGAAACAAAAATGAAAATTTTAAAACAGCCCCCCACATCTGCAGGAAAGGGGCTAATGGGAATATCCAGTGGGTATTGGGCTGGATTCCGTGCGAATTTGCAGATTGTGCAGATTCTGTGTGAAAGTCTGATGATTGCAGCAGGCGCCCAGCACATGTGTGGTGACACCACTGCTCTGGGTGACAGCGCTGGGCACCAGCCCCAGAGCTCCCAGCCCTGATGGAGCTGGAGAACTCCACCTTCCCTCTGTCCTTGGCTCGGCTCTGAGCTTCAGTTTTACCTCTGGAAACTTTGAACAAATTCGTTGCTCATTGCAGTGGAAGGCAGATAAATAAAATAAAATATATTGAGAGCGATTTGTGCTGTAACTAAACCCTGAATTTATAGAGAGAGAGCATGGCCAATGACAACTTTGTCACAGCACATGAAAGCCTGGACATTAGGCTTTGCACTTTTACCTGATCTTTAAAGAGGCATCTCCAGGCTGGGCCCAGGTGTGAGGAGCAGCTCTGTGGTCCCACTGGGGGGTCCCACCAGAGAAGGGGACAAGGCACACCCGGCCGAGATGGATTTTAGGCAAGGCATTAAATCCGAAATGCTACAACTCGATTATTTCTTCTGCAGACTCCTTTTGACAAAACTGCTCCATTTTCAGAGTTACACAGGATTTAGCCCCGCGCCGCTTTCATGTGAATTGTGTGGCTAAAGTTCCATGCAGCTCTTTGAAAATTTCAGAGCCGGTGCTTTCCCCAAGATCGACAACTGTTTTATTTCTCTTGACAGAAAATGGTGAGAGAGCAAACACTGCCGGCCGTGGGGGAAGCGGTTTGGTCGCTGGCTCTGCAGCACCTTCAATGTGGGGCTCAAAGAGCCACGCAGGAATGGCAGCTCCTGCTGTACCTGGACGAGTTCTGTGGGATCGCCCTTTCCCAGGGAGGAAAACTTGGGTGGCTTCGGGTTCTTCCTCCCTTCTTACGCGTAGGGAGCAGCACTTTGGCTCCTTTTGTCCATCTGTGAAACCAAGGAAAGGGAACTCATTGACCATTGGTTTTGTAATACCATCCGAAAATGGCTTCTACCACAAATTCTTCTGCAGTGGATGTAATTAGTGTCAGTTATTTGTAATTAGCCACCCCTTGGGTGACGCTGTGTCCCCTAAGACCAGTGGCAGGACTGGCACCAGTTTGCACCAGGATTGCTCCAATCCCTGGCCCAGTGTGTTGACAGCAGCTGCTGCTCATCCATGGATCTGAGGCTTCATCCTGCTTCCAAATGCCACTCCAGGCATGTCCAAGCCACTGTCCTGTGCTGCGTCACAGGGGGACAGAGCACAAATCGCCTTGATCCTTCTCCTGCCTTTCTCTCTGTGTCTGAAACTGTGGGGCTTGGCTCTGTCCCTGGAATTATACCACAGATTGGAATTCTCATTTTTAAGTTCATTTCTGCTCTGATTTAAAGGCTGAATTAACAAACAATGGCTTATTTGGTTTAAAATGCAAAAACACCATCTGGTCTTTGAGATGTGCTAAACCGCAGCGGGGGGAGGCAGAGTGACACATGGGAAGGGTCTCCAAGTGGCACGGGTGAGGCTCCCAGGAGGAATTCCTGCCGCTCTTGACCCATGTCAAGGCAAGGAAAGCTGATCTTTGGAGTGGGCATTGCTACAGCTGCAGCTGGTGGCCTGGGGACAGCTCGATTTCAGGGGATGCTGCACTTCAGCCCTCACTGCTGGCAGCTCAGAGCAGCGTCCTGGGAGCTCTCCTCTGTCCCTGGCTCCTCTCCTCACCCTGGTGCAAAATTCTGCAGAGGCATCCATAGGCATTGCTGGCCCTTGGGTTTTCCCTGGGCCACAGCCTTAAGCCTTGCTCCAGAGCTGGCACGGGGCTTTCCAGCATCCCTGGCACGAGTGACTCTCAGGAGTGAGTGCCCACTCGGCCAGCAGGACTCAGGGAGTGACCTCATCCCGTAACACCCTCGATTACACCCCCAGTGCTCGTGGGTCAGGTCAGTCTCTGTGCTCCTTCATGCCCCAGCCCCTGTGCCCGTGCTCCCAGAGCCACTCCCGGCTCCGTGCTGTCCCTGGCTGCTGGTGATTTGATTTAACGCAGCTTTCAATCACTGCCAGCGGGCCTCGCGCTGCAGCAGCATCACTGCTAAACACTCTGTGACAAATAATCTGAGGCTAAGCTTCCAGGACAGAGGAAATCGCTTTCCTCTTGAAATTAAAGTTGATGCATAATGGAAGGCACGGAGACGTCTCCAGCAGGAGCATCGAACCCGTCCCGAGTCCCTCCCCGTCTGCCCAACGAGAGGCGGGAGGTTAGGGAAGTCATTTCCTAGAGTTCAGGATTTGCAATTTGCATTCTATAATCTCCCGGCCATTTACCAGCAGATAATTTGTCACGGTTTGCTTTAGCTGTTGTGATATTGATATTTATTATGCAAATTGTATTTCTTACTACTTATTGTCCTCACCCTCAGAATGCTTGAATTATTATAAACCTGTTTAGTTAATGCGGGTTGTGTCTCAATTGATGCCTGAGCGCAGCGGGTCGCAGCGTGTGATATCGTGCAGGGGGGCTGCTCTGGTATTTAGGGACAGGCACACGGGATGCCTGGACATGGGATGGCACAGCAGCCAGTGAAGCTGCTCTGCTGGGTTTGGTGGGGCTGGAGTCCTCCTGGAGAGGAGGGAATTTGGGGTCCCAGCACAAGACAAGTGCTTTTGTACTAACTGGCGTGAAGCTGTTATGGAATTGTGATGGTTATGGTGGCCCAAAACCCTGCTCGTTGAGCAGGAAACAGATGTTTGGCATGGCTGTGGAGCAGAAAGTCTTGTCATCATGGGAGACAGAGCGGCATGGGGAGGTGGGGACACAGGGAGGAGTGATACCCCAAACCAAGCCCCCGGCAGCAGCATTTTGGGTTTTCTTGGGTGTGAAACCAGCTTGGTTTCACATTCCAAAGGGTGAAAGCTCTCTCCAGCCCCACAGTGTGACTCAGTGCTTGCCCTGGGCGGTTTTAACCTCAAGCTTGGCAGAATCTGGGATGATGAAGCTGAACTGACAAATCACCTGCCTCAGGTTAACTTGGAATAACCTAATTAATAAGGTTGGGAATATTCGACATCCTCTGCGTTTGCTCCATTAACGCTTGCACGGACCCATTGCCAGCGATTCCATGGTTCCATTCCTGGTGCCGTGGGTGGGGGGAAGGCTTGGACCTTTCCCGGGCGGGATGAATCCCCCGGTGACCCGGCCGCTCCGTTTGCCGTGCGTTACGGTACGGCTGAGCACTCAAGGGAACGGCAGGGGGCAGTTCCGGGGCTTTACTTGTGAATTCGCTCGGTTTAAATCCATCGCGTGGGTGACAAATCCGCAGAAGAGGTGGATTGGTTGCCGGGCTGCGGTTACCGAGCCCCGATCGCCGCCGCCGGGGGGCTCGTGGGCTCCGGCCTCTCCGCTCCCCCGGAGCCGCCGAGGCTCAACACCGCCTCCAGCGGCGCGGGGCCCGCTCCGGCGGGCAGCGGGGGGCGCTGGGCCGGGGGACACGACCCCCGGGAGCGTGCACGGGGGCGGAGAGGGGGCACAGACACCGGGGGATCTGCACGCTGCTGAACGCGGGGGTGCTCAGGGGGACACTGCCGGGACGGACAGCGCCGGCGGGGGCGCACCGCACGCCGGGGTGGTACCGCGGGAGGAGGGCGCTTTGTGGCGTGGGAGGGGGACACACGACCCTGCGAAGGGGGAAGGCAGGGAGCGGGGTGACAGCCGCAGGTGGGGCGCGGCGGTGCGGCCCCGGGCGCGGCCCCGCCATGGCCGGCGGCGGCGCCCCGGGGCTCCTCCCGCTCCTCCTGCTGCTCCTGTCCGCCGCCGCCATCATCCCCCGAGGTAGGAAGGACGCGGCCCCCGCGCACGGACGGGTGCTGGTACCGGGGCGGGCGGCGCGGGGAGGGGTGTTCGCGCTCGGGGATCGCGGCGGCGCTCGGGTAGCCCCGGTTGCGGCGGGTCCGGGGGGGCCCCGCCCGCCCTCCTTCGCCTCGGGCCGTGCCCGGAGCTCTCGGTGGTCCCGGGGAAGCGCCCCCGGCGGCGGGAGCGGCGGGCGGGCTCACCCGCGCGTGGCGGCGCGGCGCGGGCAGCCGCTGCCGTTTCCATGGAAGCGGCTTCTCCCGCTGCCCGGGGGGTCATCAGCGGCCCCGCAATTAAAAACTAATTGCTTTGCGCGCCCCCTCCATCTCCCCCCTCTCCGCACCCCCCCGTGTTTGCGGCGGCGCGGGGATGCTGCACCCCTGCGGGAGCAGGGAACCTGTTGGAATCTGAGTGGAACTTGCGCGACGCTTCGCTCTCCCTCTCCCTCTCTCTCTCCCTCTTCTTCCCTTCCGCCCCTCTCTCTCCTTCCTCTCCCCTCTCCCCCGGTGCCCCCTGCCGCAGCCGCGCCCCCCGCCCAGCCGGGCGCGCTCGGGGCGCTCGCCCGGCTCGGGCGCTGCGGCTGGAACGGGCGCTGGCTGCTTCAGTGTGGCTAACGAGGCCCCCCGAGCGGGGCCGGTTGGGTTCTCTCCGCGGCACCCTCGGGCTGCGGTGTGCCCGGTGCGTTGGGCGAGCCCCCCACCCCGCCCGGCATCGCTCCCCGCCGGGCCGGGAGCCGCGGCAGCGACCTGCGCTCGTGTCCGGTGGCTTCGGTTCGAACATCCCCCGTTAACGCCGTTCACGTTTCCAGTATGTCCGTGGGGCGGCGCGGGGCCGCACGGCCGTAGGAGCGGGTGCTGTGTGCGGGATGTTTGGGAAGAACAAGAGGCCATTGAACGATCTGTTGAATCCCGCTCGTAGGAAAGGGGGGACGAAGGGGCCGCCAGCCCGGCGAACAAAGAGCTTTATTCACAGCCTGTGTACATGTCCATGCCTTCCCCGCTCTTCCCGGGCGGCCTTTTTGGTGGGATGGTGGTGGGGGGAGATCGCCGGGGTCGTTTTCAGCTTGTTCCCCCTGCGAACGGGGCCGGGGCTGGTGCCCTCCCGGCTGCGCTCGGTTGCGCTGGGCAGCCCCGAAGGGCGACTCTGCCCCGATGCCGGCGCTGCGCAGCCCCGAGCCCATTGCGGGGAGCCGGGGCGAAGGAAAGGAGCCGCCGCGGCGGCTCTTTGCGCTGCGAGCCGGGGAAAGGCTCCGCTCCGGCTCCCCCGCGCCCGGGGTTCCTGCGGTCGCCGTGCTGTAGCTTCTCAGATGTCTCGTCACAAGGTGCTGTTTGTGTGTTCGCTGCTTTTCGCTGCCTGGCGAGTCTCCCGCCGGTGTGACCTGGGAACTCTGGTCCTGGGAGAGACGCTCAGATTGGGAATACGAGCCCGGCTCCTGGACGGCCGCGTTCATCCTTTGTTTTGCTCTCTTGCTCACCTCAAATTCTCTAAGAGCAGTTTTTAACTGGAGGCCAGAGTGATCCCCCGGCAGGCTCAGCCTGTTCTCCGCTGCCCAGCCAACGGGTGGAACTGTGATTTGGGATCGCAGAGCTGCTGAAGGCAAACAAAAGCAGGGCTGGATGCTGGCTCACACTGGCTGTGCCTGACCCGAGCACCGGGGTGAGAAGCACCGCGCGGCGTGAGCTGAGGTTGTGGTAAGACAGATATTTTGTGGTTGCGGCGCTGTGTTGTGAATCGCAGCATAAAATCCCAGACTGCGTTTAGGTGAAATTTCCCTACAGCTGAGGAGCTTTTTTTCCTTTTTCCCCCCCATTCTCCCCCTTTTCCAAGCTAACAGTGTTATTTCGCTTCAGTGTTCAGCGAAGAGAGAATTAGTGTGAGGTGGCAGCGTCAGCGCTGAGCGCAGAGTGCCGTCGTTGTGTCTCCTGCACGGTTGCCACCCGAGGCACAGCGGTGCCAGCGCTGTGTCACCGCCGTGGTGGCACCCCGTGATGCGGAGTGCGGCCGAGGGTTCTGCTGCCTCCTTCCACCGAGGCGACCGGAGCAGCAGTAGGCAGCAGCGGGACTCGGTTCGGGATGAGCCTGTGCGATCGCGTGGATCCGTGTGTGTCTGTGCTTCCTCTCCAGCCGCTCTCGACGCTTTGCGGTTCGTGGAGCTCCTGATGCCCCTGTGCAGCAGGGCGAGGGCTGAGGAGCGCTCTCGGCTCACTCTGAGGCGCTTGGGCAGCGCTGGGCTGGAACTCGGAGTCTGTCTGCGCTGGCGCTCGGCGCTTCAGGGAGAACAACTTTCCAGCAGAAGCCTCAGGAGGTGTTTGGAGACGGCGTCGGCGTGGAGCCGCGACCTGGCCGTGGCACGGAGCTGCGAGGGGCTGGCCAGGGCTGGTTGTGGCTGCAGCCTCCGTGTCTGCCGACACCAAACCGGCCCGGGGGAAGCCCCCCACGAAGGCAGCGAGCGCTCCCAGCGCGGCTGCGCTGAGCCAGGCTCCTTTGTAAACACAGAGTGAGTTTCCAAGGAGCCTTTGTATGCAAGCGAGGCGAGTCTGCTCGTCCCTGGCCTTCAGCAACGCGCGCTGCGTTCTGCATGCGACGCAAACGCCGGCGGGGAAGGGGCTGGGGAATAAAGTGATCCATCTGGGTTGCAGCTTGGGCTCATTTGTCTTGCGTGTAGGCAGTTGAGCCCAGGTTTATAAGCACGACAATCTGGTTTGAAACCACTGCCAAGGAGGCTCCCGAGGACGGGAAGGCGAGGAGATGGCTCTGCTCCGTGCGTGCTCTGCTCTGAGGAGGGGCGGCTGTCAGCACCTTCTGCAGGATGGACATCCCCGGGGTGGACGCTGTTGGATGCACACCGCCGGGACGGGCGCTGCCGGTGTCCCCTTGGCACGGGTGGCCGCTGTTGGTGCGCAGAGGTGGCCGTGGTGGCGGGAGGCCGGAGAAGAGCCGCGCTCCCCGGGGACCCCCGGCCGTAGCAGCGGCCGTTCTGCTGATGCTGCGCTGCCGTCGCCTTTGTTCGCCTTGCGCTGCCTTTCCTGGTGTGTAAATAAAGAAGGCTTTGTAATCAAACAGCGCTGGCTCCGTCAGCCGGGCGCTTGGCGAGCCTTCCCCCGGCCCTGCCAGCACCGGTGGGGCCGTGCCTGTGCCATCCATCGGTGAGCTCTGCCCTATTGCCGGGTGGAAAATGGGTCAGCTCCTTAACCCTGCGTCTGCCTGAGGCCACCCGGAGTAAAACCCGTGTTCCAGCCTGGATACACCCTCCGTTTGAATGGACCATCCAAGCGCTCCTCAGAACACATTTGCTCATAGAAAGCAAAGCCACCTTCCTGCGTGTAGGCAGAGTTTTTTGGATGTTTCTCTTGAATGGCTGTTTTTCTAGGGATTATTGTCAGACTTTGTATAGGGGTTTTGACAACCTGTTCCTCTTCTGGGTGTTGGTGGCACTTGGTGGTACTTGTGTCAGGAAAGCAGGGGCTCCCTCCTGAATCCAAACATTTTGGTTCCTGTCTGCGGCTCCAGATCTGAGCAGGCTCCAGGAGAGGAGCGTGAGGCTGCGTCCTTCCCTGGAGCTGAGCCAGGAAGTGAATACTTAACACAGTGGTTTGAGAGCACAAGCAAAGCTGGACACACAGCCAGTGTCTACTGAGAAACTGGATGCTACATGTTAAAAAAAATAAGTTGTGCTTGTTCCTCCGGGGGACATTGTGAGGTGCAAACCCACCGGCGCTAAATAAAGGGACGCTGTGGAAACCTGCCACGAAGGAGAGACCCTAGGTGGAATGTTGTAATTAGGAGTGGTATGTACTTGTTTAAGTTCCATAAATCAGTCTCTTTCCCGGGACGTAATTGCACGCTGCCGAGAGCAGCTGCTGCTGCGGTTCCTGGGGAGCTCCACCACAAAAGCTTTGAAGGTCGCCCAGCGTGGGCTCAGGCGCTTCAGGGCAGCGTGCTGGGGAAGAGGCTGGGTTGGGATGTGTGGCAGGCGAGATGGAAGGGAAGTGCCACGAGGCTTGGTTCGCTCTCGGCTCTGTGGATTGGACGCCGTGAGCTGTCGGCCTGCCCTGCCCCGCCGCGATGAGCCGGCGTTTGTGGTTCAGCCGCCGGCTGCATTTAGTTATTCCAGTTTTTAATTTGCGAGGGCAGGGTGAGCCCCAGCTGCGATACTGTGGCTGCAGGCGACTCCTCTGATGGCCCTGCCCATGTGTGACCACCACCCGCCTGCTGTCAGCCTTTTTTGCTGTGGAAACAGTTTTTCTTCTTCCCGGTGTCCTCGTTACCTGTTGAACCTCTCGGTTTTCCTGCTGTGTTGCACATCGGGCTCTCACAATTTTGCAGGGCGTTGGGTTGGGCGTTGGGGAGCCCTGCAAGCCACTGTACGCTGCTGGATGAGGCTCTGAAAACCCGAGTTTCGTGTCAGTCTTTTCCACCCATCCCAAATTCCAGCAAGGAATGCAGATCCCCAAGGAGATTTGGTTCTCGGGGTTTCTCGGAGCCGTTGCTGAGCCCTCACCCGCAGTATGTGGCTGGTGGCTGCTTGCATTTCAAACACTTGGCTGGGTTATGCCAGGGACATTTGCTGCCCTCCGCTCCTGGTTATTTTAGACCAACAATGTCCCTCTGTAGGGTTGGGCTGGCTATTTTTATTCTGTGGTGTGGTTTTAATTTACTGTGTTCTTCTGTGGTTTAAAAACTTGAGCATTACAAAGACTCTGCCCTTACCAAATTCTCAAGGTGAATCAGTGGAATATTTGATACCCCATTAAGTTCCAGTCTGAAGGATCAAAGAGATACTTAGGCGCATCTCTTTGCTCAGAGATATAAAACTTTTGTGGGCTGTAGCTTAACTGGAAAATGTCTTTAGTTTTGCTTTTTTAGTTTGTTTTTTTTTTTGTCCCTGGAAGTGCTGACAGCTCCTTGATGTTGGTTTGCTGACAGTCTCACACACAGGTGCTGCCTGCTGGCAGGTCTGTGGTGGGTTTGCTTTGGTCCTG